TGCTACTTGAAGGTGTTGTGCGAGGGTGAATAAATAATCACCTTGTATTTCACCCAGGTGGTGGCACATAATCTACTTGGTGCAACTACCACCTCTGTTCGCCACCTTCAGTGGTCACGAACGACAGTACTGGGTTACTCCATGGAGTAATAATTATAATTAAAATCATTATTTAAAGAAAGTGATCCTGATTTTTAAATTGAAATGATTAAAAACTTGCATAATAATCTCTAAATTTAATTTCTTTTTATTAAATATTTAAGAATAAAAACTGTAAAAGTTTTAATTTTCAAAAAAAAAATCACTATTTAAAAGTGATTCATATAAATTTTTATTAAAAATTCATTAATGAGCATTATCAAAAATAGCGTAGTAAATATCTTTTTTTATTTTAGATAAATGAAGACTAAAACAATATAAAATAATGGAGTAGTGGATGTCTCAAGGGAAGAATTTCTCGAGCCCTAACCCATAAAATGAAAGTTCCTTCCCACTACTCCGTATGTTATTATTTTTGCTATCAACGATCTACAGATAATATTCTGGCACGCTATAAGCATCCGTAAATTTGGCAATTGCAAAAATTGTACAATGAAATAGGTAGAAGAATAGGTAATAGAAAGGAACTGCCATTTTTTTACTGCATAAAAGGGCCTTCCATATAATTTGTAGTAGTAATATATTGATAGTATAATATTTATTTTGTTTTAGTGATCTGCAATGTCTATTATTCGTAGTTTATATTTAATATTTTATTTGTATTATTTTAATGAAAATGTAATTCTCTCGAATTAGAGAACTTGACATTTCACTTTTTTTGTTCCACACTCTGAATATTGTTCACCCGGATGTGCAGAAGTCTGCCCGTTAATTTAGACACACCATTATTGTAATTGTTCGATCATAACAGATTGGAACAATTGCTTTATGTTTACGTTCCCATTGTAAAATTCCTTGAGCAGAGTTGTACATTTGCCAAAATTCAATTTTATCTTCTATAAACACAAATTCGAATGAGTAAATATCAATAAATCACAAATCTACCATAAGTATGCACGAAAAATATGCAAATGACTTTGGTGATGCTTTCTTATATCTTTCACCAATCTTTTCAAGCATGTACATGCTTCCCAAGGGTCCTTTACAATATACATCCCAAGTAGATCGTGGAATCTCATGGTGGCCATATCCTCCACTCATTTCAAGGTGCCTAACCTCAATAAATGATCTTTTCAGGCGTACCAGGAAGATACCATCTGCTTTTTGCTAAATTGAAACATGCTTCCGCCGTTTGCGGCAAGATTAAGCATCGCGAACCTACCGCGTACACGTAAAATTATTCTGTTCCCGCAGTAAGGAGTACTACCTGACACGCGCAACCGATCACTTTTTGCTAAGAAAAAAAAAAAATTCTATTTAAAATTTATACCTACTTGTTTTGGGGTGAATAAGTTTTGACGTATTTATGATTTTTGACAATGCAGATTTTTTATGTTATTTGTATTTATTTTTTGCATTTTTTATAAAGACAAATAATTTAAACCAGTACTGCTCAATAATAATTTTAAGGTTTATCTGTCATAAATATCAGCTGATAAGATTTCCCAGTAGCTAACTAAGGAAAAAAGGGAAAGGGAAGATGAATGATCTTTTAATTTGGTAAAAGAAACGTCCCAGTGATTATTTAAAATCTTAGAATCGAATTTAAAAATTAATTTTTTTAACAAACAAAAAAAAAACTCAATTATGTAAAGTAATCAAATAAGGAAACTGTACATAAAACAAAAAAAAAATCAATAAATAAATAAAGAAAATCAATTAAAGTAATTAAAATTTTTTAGGTAATTAAAGTATGCATTTTTGTTTTTTGAATAATAGAAAAGAATGAAGTTTTACAACACCAAGAAATGTCAACTATGTATAATGATGATTATGCAATTAGTATCTCACCATTTTAGTTTAGCAACTTTAATAATTTATATATATGAAATGGAATCAATATTGATTTTTTTGACATTTAAAATCTAGTTCTTTTTTTTTTTTCTTATTAAATTTAAATTATTTAAATTATAAATTACATGTTAACAAAAATAAATAAATAAAATATTGTAATATGCATATCAAACACAATTCTAAATATTTTTTCACATTTCTAATATTTCAATCTCTGATTTGATATCATTTTTTTGAATTTCTAATCGAATCAAATTTTAGTTTCACTTCATCCACTACATTTGTTATAGATTTATGAACTTTCATAAATTTTGGTGATCGATCTTCGTATTCACGAATTTTGGAAGAAATGTTGTGTGATGTTTGAGGAATAAAGTAATATGATGCTGCAATTGTGAATATTACAGGGCTAGCAATTCGAATTAAGATGTTACCTTAAAAATTAAAAAAATTATTAAAAAAAAAATTATTCCAAAAAAAAAAAAAAAAAAAATTTATTATTTTAATGAACTAATTATCACATAGAATTGTAACTTACGATTCCTAGCTGCTATTGTACCAGCAAGTCCTGCCACCACTATGTATAAACCTTCTGGCATAAATCGTTCATGAGGATCAATTACATCTTTTATTGTTCCTGTGATTTTGTGATTTTGAATCAAATTATTATATTTTATTATATTTATTTAAAATTTATTATTTTTTGATAGTAGGAAATTATACAAACTTTCAGTTTTCTGTTCGATCTCGATCCATTTGTTTATGACATCCCGTAAATTATACTATTAAATTATAATAGAATATTTCAAATTATGAAATATCAAATAAAAAATTTCTTGTTCAATAATTTATCATATACAAATTTACCTCTAATTTATTAGTAGTTTGCATAATTTTAGTTCTGGTTTTCCTTATATCTTGTTCCAATTTGGTAGGTGACTCTATAAGCACTATTTCAGGAATTGGGTCGTCATATATACTAAGCTAATAATAAGAATTCTCGGTTTGGTGAAAAATGACTTAATTGAATCAATTAATAAATAAATCTTTATCATATATAATGAACCTTTTTCGGCTTGTTTTCTTGAGCGAATACTAAAGGAATGTTTGCAAAACTTATAGCGGACCCTAAGAGAATCCCGGCAACTCCAGTCATCTAATGTAACACATTTCAGTTAACTTGATTATCTCTATAGTGTTTTTACTGGTTTAATAGTTTGTTCATTTTGTTCATTTTATTTATTCAATTTAAAATATTCTAACCTTCCTTGGGTATTGAAAAAACCCGTTCATTTTTTTTTTTTAAAAAAAAAATAGTAATTTGAGTTTGTCTTTCCCAGAAAGGAAAATATATTGGAAACGTTACTGCGGAAGGCAAAGATGGATTACAATTGAGATAACGATAAGAGTGACGTCAGACGCGAAAAAACTACATAAAATCGCAATTTTCTGGACTCACTTATTTCACTCATCATTCGTCATGACTGGAAAGAGACGAAAATTTGAGTTAGAATTTATTCCAAATAAAAAAACAAAGGTTACTCATGTAAATGACACAGCTTTAACAGAACAACCAGTCAATAATTTTCGTAAATTAGAAGTTTTTCAAATTCAATGGGGTCAATATTTTTCACAAGGAATAACACAAAATGAAAGGGTAAAGATAGATAGATATATATCTCTCTCTGATTTGGATTTTTTTTTTTTGTATATCTTTTTCAACATATTAAAATTAAAATTAAAAAATTCGTTTCGTTTTCAGGTGATTGTTCTGATTGACAAAATGGGTGACTTTTGTTACCTACACTTACGAGATGATTGGATAGAAACATCAATATGTGAAGGTAATTTAAATCCTTGAAGTACTGTTAATATAATTTACAAAAAAAAAAAAAAAAAAAATTAACAATATCAAGTAATATTATTAATTATAGGTAATATTGTAAATGTTTTTGGACAATTTGATGATGACAACAAATGTATAATCGATAATTCTCAAGGTCTTTTAATAGTGAATCCTGATATTCTTATATCAGCAACATCTGTATCAGATTCATTCGCATGTATGCGAAAGGGAATTTTAAGTGATCGGGTCAATGGAAATTTTACATACAGTCCAGCATTAGTATATGGAAGTTTGTTTCATGAATTAATACAAACTTGTCTCATGAATCAAGATTTTACTAGGAATTTTATGGAATCGGAGGTGAAAAGAATGGTCAAGGGATCGATTGAAAAACTTTATTCTACCAATTTAATTGAATATAATGTAATTATGGATTTAATAGATGCAATTCCAATAATTCAAGCTTGGTCTGATAAATTTATTGGTGAAATACCAAAGCCAATAGATGAACATCTTTCAATTAGTAAAGTTAAACCGGCTCTGTGTATTAGTAAAATTTTGGATATAGAAGAACATATTTGTTCTACAACTTATGGTCTTAAAGGAAAAATTGATGCTTCTGTTGAAGTTAAAGTTTCGGAAAATGGATTGTTAAAAAAATTAATAATGCCTTTTGAAATAAAGACTTCCAGAAACACTTCACCATCACATTTTGCACAAACTGCTTTTTATTGTCTTATGATGAGTGATTATTATAATGTCAATGTAAGTTCAGGTTTACTTTATTATTTAAAATCTCAAACCGAAGAAACGGGAAAAATGATTAAGGTTCCTGTTGTTCCTCATGAATTGAGAAGTTTAATAATTCAACGTAATAAAATGGCTTGGTTTTCTTCCGAAAAAATGTCATTACCTCCAGTGATTAAAAACAAATTTCAGTGTGGCAATTGTAATTTGAATACTTCATGTTTTCTATATCATAAAGCTTGTGAGAAAGGAACTGGAGAAAGTAGTGGAGTAGCTAATCTATTTGAAAAAATTGTTTCTCATTTACAAGATCATCATCTTGAATTCTTTAATAAATGGAATGAACTTATTACTTTAGAAGAAGATAAATATCGATTTCAACCTGAAATATGGAATATGCAAGCATCATTAATAAATGATGATGACATGTGCCTTAAGAATATGTACTTAGAACCAAAGAGTATCAAACAAAATGGGGAGGGAAATCGACAGATTAAATGCAAATTCATTTGTCAGCGAGTATGTGTGAATTTAATATTTGATACTCAGTTCTGTATAGGAGATCATGTAATAATATCATCAGAGAAAGAAAATCGTACAGTTGCGAATGGATATATTGAAGACATCACGTCAAATTATATTTATGTATCCTTAGATCGAATTCCTCGTTGTTATCCGAAACGTATGGATGATTTTGAAATTGAATCCTGTCATAGTTTCATAGGATTACCCGAAATAGGATCGTCCACTAATTATTCGAAAATGGGAATTACTGATACATTATATCGAATTTACAAGGATGAGTTGACTTCCAACATGAAACTTGTTCGTCAAAATCTTGTTAGTCTACTTGTTGATGAAGAAACTGCAAAGCTCAGAAAGTTAATTGTAGACTTTAAACCTCCACGATTTAACATGATTAATGAAATGTCTCTTAATTTGGATGATATGAAAACTTTGAATGAAGATCAAATCACGGCTGTTAAACTGTCATTGAATGGTAAATTTCAAAAATTTAAATGTAATATTCTCTAAATTATCAATTGTTTTTTTTTTTAAAAAAAAAAAAAAATTAATGCCTTATTACATTCTGATTTCGATTTAGCCGAAGATTATGCAATCATTTTAGGGATGCCAGGAACTGGAAAGTCTACTACCATAGTTCAAATTATTAAAGCTCTTGTAAAAAATGGAAAATCTGTTTTACTTGCAGCTTACACACATTCCGCCGTAGATAATATCATCTTCAAATTAATTGACGAAAATATAGATATATTAAGACTTGGTACAAAGGCCAAAGTTCGACCTGACATATGGCCATTCATGTTAGATATTGAAGAATTTGATAGTGTAAACAAATTCAGATCATTTATTGAATCTAAGCAAGTAATTGCGACTACATGTCTTGGCATCAATCAGTATGTTTATATATATCTATTTTTTTTTTTCGTTATTTTTTTTTTTTAATTAATTAATAATGATGATGATGAACCGAACACTAATTTACTTTCGAATGGGAAAAGTTATATATTTTCAAAACGGAGATTTGATTATTGTATTATTGATGAGGCAACACAAGTAACGCTTCCAATTTGTGTGGGACCTCTTCGTTTTGCCAACAAATTTCTCTTGGTAGGCGATGACTTTCAATTGCCACCATTGGTACGTGACCGCGAAGCAATTGAAAAAGGAATGGGTAAAAGTTTATTCACTACTTTGATAGAAAGACATACTCAAGCATTTACAAAATTACGATACCAATATCGAATGCATGAAGAGATTATGAATTTATCCAATTGCCTAATTTATGATTATAAAATGTTATGTGGAACTCCAAACGATCCAAATCATTACTTAACAATTCCGAAATGGAATGAGGATTTTTTATCCCAATTTCATAAATATAATGATAATCATTGTAGTAAGGAATGTTGGCTTAGGAAGGTTCTTGATCCTCAACATCCTGTGGTAATGGTCGATACTGATAGTCTTGAGGCCAACGAATCTCGTGGATTAAATCAAAATGTTATTGAAGCATCACTTGTTGAACAATGTGTTAAGGCCATGGTGGTTGGTGGTGTTCATCAAAAAGAAATTGGTATTATTACTCCATTTCGTCACCAAATTAAACTTTTGACACAAAAATTTAAAGGTCTAACCGATATTGAAATTAGTACAGTTGATAAATTTCAAGGGAGGGAAAAAGAAGTTATAGTTATATCTTTGGTAAAAGCAAATACAGATAATAAAGTAAGATTCATTTGAGTTTAAATAAAGGAATTCTTTTTACTTCATTAAGAAACTAATTTTTATGTTAATTTTAATTTAAATATATATATATATAAAGGTTAGTGATATATTGAAGGATTATCGAAGATTAAATGTGGCGATAACTCGCGCAAGATCTAAATTAATTATTTTTGGAAGTATATCAACTGTCTCAACTTCAGAATTAGTTCGTCACATAGTAGATCATATAAAAAATTCGCAAACGGTAAGGGATAATTAATATAAAAATATATTCTTTTTTTTTATTCACATTTAGACTTATTAGGTCAAATACTAAATATTTATAAATATTTATATTTTTCTCTTTAAATTTTTTAGTTGTATAAGCTTAATGATAAAAATACTCCTTATTGGCACGTTATACCTAAGATAGATTTATTATCAAGAAATTCGGAGAGCGCATCTAAAGTTAATAAAGTTGATAAACAACCTAAGAATATAACTGGAAATCCCGAGGTTTTACTGAAAAACAGTCAATTGTTACGCGATATTGCAATCAATTTAAAATCAACTTAGATTTTTACCTATCCTTTTTCTTTTTCTTTTTCTTTTTCTTTTTTTTTAATCAGAAAGAATGAAGATCTTTTTCTTAATAAATTACTTTTTTTTCACTAATGCATAAAATGATAAAATATTAATTTGCAAAGAATACATTTAACGGGAGGGAAAATTAACCGGTGGGCAGAATTAAGTTAATGTTGGTAGGGTTAGGGTTAGGGGATTGACCAGAAATTATGTAATTCTGCCTACGGTGAAATTTCCCCCCGGTGAAAATTAGCATCACTCTTTAAAAATAAAATTAAGATTGAAAATTATTTATTATTTTTTTTTTATCGATTGATTTATTGGACCTAACAAAGTATCACATATAAAGTTTCTACAGAATATGATTTACATTTTTACTTTTGAAAAAGTGTGCGTTTTTCTATTATCAATTAACTAACAATTGTCTCTTTAAAACGTATACATCTTACGCGTTTTTCAGTGGAATTTTGAACTTTTTTAAACTCGTACAGAATGTGACCTCTAAAAGGAAAATGGTCGTTTTTGAAATGATAATTGAATTTAGCAATACTTTCTGCGTACCTATCATGTGATACTCAATCATTTGTATTACGCTACATAAATTGTAAAATTATAAAAAAATAATTTAATGAAATTCTGGCTAATTTTTCGTAATTAAATTCACTTCTGTAAATCAAAAAAAGAAGATTACAATGAAAAATAAATAAATATCAGAAACAAATAAAAAAAAAAAAAAAAAAAGATAAAGATATTAAATAATCTTTATACTTTTTAAAATAATAATAATAAAAATGCAAGCATTTAAAAGTCTAGAATTCGATTCTTCCTTTTTTTTTTTCTTTTCTTTAGAAATAAGAGGTTATGCGAAAATTCATTTCTTAACCAATAATTTATCTAAACGTTGAGTTAAATCAGAGATACGGGAATCCATAGCCTCAATATTACGTTGAATAGCATCATCATTAACCTCAAAAGATTTCTCGAGCTATAATATAAAATGTAAAGATGATAATCAACATAAATATATAATAAAAAAAAATAATAAAAAAAAGAAACATGAAATAATAGAGATACTTACGTTTCCAGTTACTTCATCCAAATTCTTTACTTCTTCACTTATTTTGTTTTGCTCGGAAGATAACATTTTAATAGTTTCACTGAACACTGCTGCTTCTTGATGTAATTGTTGCAATGATTTCAAACGGTTAACCAAAGAAGGTGCAATGGTCATAAGCGGATCAACTTTATCTAAAAGAGCAAAAAGATAGTTGATCTAAAAGATGCAACGCATTTGTTTGAGAAAATAAAAATTAAAAACACAAAAACACAATTCACAAAAATTCGAGATGATATAATACCTTTTCTTCTGTCTCATATGTGATAAATCCTCCATTAGCAAGTTCTTTATTTCTTAATTCATTCACCTTTTCTAATTCATTAACCAAGGTTTTCGCCTTTCTAGATACAGACTCCAAATGACGTGGTTGTGCTAAAATCTGCATATGTTGATCTAATTTATCCACTTCCGCAAGAAGGTTGGTATTTGTTATCGAAGTTGACTTTATATAGTATCATTAATGCACATAATTGGAATAAATTTTTTTTTTTTTACAGCAAAATTTTAATGACAAAATTGATGATAAATAATATATATATAAAATATAATAATAATAATGAGTAAATCTTACAAGGTCCTCGAAATTTTGTCCGTGAGCAGTACCGAGAAGTTTTTCCAACGTAGAAATACGCTCATCAAGTTCTGTAGTTTTAGCTAACGTATGAACTCGTGCGGTTTCAGGTGAATAAAATAATTCATATGTAACCATCTAATTGACGATAAAATAAATATAATAAATAAAATTATCAAAAAATATTAGGAACGGAATAAACTGACGTACGTTTTTCCCATTTTCGGCGGGTTCGCTATGCCCGTTAACATGATCACCAGCTTTATCAGATTTACCATTCTCTTTAGGTAATCCAATATTTTTAAATGTTCGCAGTTGATGAATCAATTTTTTACCCAATTCAGTTTGCTTTATTATAGTGCCATCTTGCTCAACTGAAATATCGGTTTCTCCCAAAGTTTGACCAATACGAGTAAGATCATTTTGTAGGCTTGATATTTGTGAAAGCAGAGCACTATGAGGAGGTTTTTTTGGAGTTTCTTTATCCTAATCATCAAAAAAATAAATAAATAAATTTGTAGGAATAAAAATGATATAAATAAAATAATTTTAAAAGGAATCATCCTTTTCATATATAAAATTACCTTATTTTTTTCGATCTCTTCACCTAAATCTTGTACTTCGAACATCAATCTATGCAACTTTTGTAAGGGAGTTTCTTTTAATTCTGGGTCCTTAGGAATAATTTCATATTCATTTGTATCTAAAGCGGTACGTTTAATATATTGTTTATACAATATTTTCTTATGACGATTCGCTTTTTCTGCTTCTGTAAAATGCATTATTTGAGGAAAATTTTTTTTCATTAAAAAAAAAAATTTTTCGCGAAAAAAAAAAAATTATATAATGAAGAATAAAAATGATGCACCTATCTACCTGTCTCATTTGCTTCACCAGGGGTTTCTTTAAATTTACCTATGGTATCCCCTACAATTATCTTTTCACTAATAATATCCTCGTTAGGTTCTTCAATATTTAAATACTAAAAGGTATTAATAATGGAATGACGGTTAAAAAAGGAATACCATTTATTTTCATAATGAAATAACAACCATACGTACTTCATCGTCTTCAACTTCTACATCCTCGGGAGAATCGGGTGTCTCATAGACATCTTGTTGAGTGTCCTATTTGAAGTTTCAGAATTATACCTATCAAACACGAAATTTTTAGTATTTGTAACGAGTAAACTTTTTAAAGAAAACTTACGATATCTGGAAGGGCACTATATTTACTGGACATTTTCTTAAAATGTTGAAAGAGAAGCTTTTTGTATTAAAATGTTGATTTTGTGGGAAACATAAATTAGGAAATACTGTACAACGATAAAACCTCGATTATCAGTCTTTTTTTATCATAAAACATTAAAACATCACATAACGAAAAAAAAAAATAATAATAATTCACACCTTCAAAATGTCTGGAAAACTTCCACAAGTATAAAGAATTTTTTGTTGCCTTTGGAGAATTTTTTACTGTTTAATAATGAACTAATTAACCTAAATTACTTTAAATTACTTTAATATAGAAAAAATTTTTTCGGCAAAGAGCTCACTCGAACCCTTTTTCTGACCATATTCTTGAATAGTTAGTTCTTTTCGAATATTCCAAACCAAAAATATTTTTAAAAAATTAAGTTCACATGATCATTTATTTGTGCATATTTAGTCCGAAAAGTCCTGCTTATATGGATTGGTCTAAACACTTTCCAGCATTCTTTCCACCCAAACAAAAGGCAGAGAACCTTTTAGAAGAGTCACCTTCTAATGTGTATGAAAAATCCCAACAATCATCACAGAAAAAAGTAGAGTTCGCTGATCTGGGGTGTGGATATGGTGGTTTGCTTGTCGCATTATCAACAATTTTTCCAGAAACTCTTATGTTAGGTACTTACTTCACGTGTAATAATAATTAAATAAATATGGATATATATATAATCTAAAAATTTAAAATTTTAGGCATGGAAATTCGAGTAAAAGTTGAAGAATATGTAAAAGAACGAATTAAGGCACTGAGATTACAACATCCAGGACAGTATCAAAATATATCTATTATAAGAATGAATGCAATGAAATTTCTACCAAATTTCTTTGAAAAAGGTCAGGTAAGAATTTTTTTTTTTTTAGAAACAAATAATTTTAAATAATTCATTATATAATTCATTATATAATTCTGTTCCTAATACAATAATAATAATTTATTTTTTAAAAATATTTTTTAATGATATATAAAGTTATCAAAAATGTTTTTTTTATTTCCGGATCCACATTTCAAAACGAGAAAACATAAAGCTAGAATTATCACGTAAGATTATAAATTTTAAAGTTATTACGAACTGAATTTTTTTAATTATTTTTAATTGTTCCAAATTATTGATATTTTTTTTTTTTTATTTTATTTCTTTATAGCACACAACTATTAGCAGAATATGCATATATATTACGCGCTGGAGGTATAATATATACTATTACAGATGTAAAAGATTTACATGAGTGGATAGTCGTACATTTAGAAAAACATCCATTTTTTAAACGTATACCAGATGAAGAAGTGGTGAGCATGAATAATAATAATCATCATAATAATAATCATAATAATCATAATAATAATAATAATAATAATAATAATACTTTAAATAAAATAATTTATTTCGATTTCATTAATTCTTTGTAGGAAAAAGATCCAGTTATTCCATTTGTTCGTACTGATACTGAAGAAGGTAAAAAGGTTGAACGTAATAATGGGCAAAAGTTTTTAGCATGTTTTAGGAGGACTGAGGATTCAACGGATTCATCCGAAGATTAAAAAATTTCATTATTCTTTGTTACCATTATCATCTTTTAATCATGCAAGGTTACTTTATTAATTAAAAATCATCAATTAGAAAAAAAAAAAATTCAGAAAAGAAGGAAGGATCAAATAATAACAATAATAATATATTGTTTATTTATTTATTTATTCTGTTCGAAATATTTGAAATATTTTGAAATATTTACACGATTGATTACTATTTTTTATTGTGATATAACCCTATAATATCAAAATTAAGGATACTACTCAAAAGTTTAAATCAATTTTTGATAAAGATAAAATCGACAATTAAAATTAATTTAAACACATGTCAAATAACCTTAAATAACCTTAAATAGGCAAGTTGATAAATGAGAGTTTTGTCTAAAACAAAAGTCGATTTTAATTTTTTGAATCTAAAAAAAAAACTATTGACAATTTCCATATTAGATAAATTTGTAATTATCAAGAACATTATTTTTGTAATTCATACCATTTTTATTTGAATTGTAAAAAAAGGCTTTTTGTTCACGTGTTTAAAGATCCACGTTCTCGGAATTTTATGACATAATTAATTGATGATCACACGTCGTATCCCTGATTCAAGTGATTAAATTTGATTGTATTTGGTTGTATTAGGTCGTGTGGTGAAGTGGTGAAATATAATAATATAAAATTTAACTTTAAGGGTAAAAACTTGTCAAATTTTCATAAATTACTTGGCAAGACAGTTAAATTTATTAAATTGTTATAATTGTATTATGCAGATCGAAATGTCGCAATGTGTAACCTCTAATAGAAAGTGACACAAGTAACACCGATATATTAAAGAAAGCATTCAATGATCTTATGATCTAAAAAAAAAATACGTTTCTAGGTTTATGTTAAAAATTGACAAGGGCTTAGAAATGGGATAAATTCAGAAAATCCAGATTACCGGAAGCTTATCCCAATAAGGTAAATTAATAAGAAATTTAATATACCTATGACGTAAATATTGAGTCACCGCTTCGCATGGTTATGATACATTTATTAAGGAAACCTCATAATGATAATTTTGATAATAATAATAAAAATAAAATTTTAATTGATTAGCGATAAATTACAATAGATTAAAAAGATTTTCCAATACTTTTCCGAACCAAAAAAAGAAAACTCTTTAGAATAATAGGAGAAAGAGGAAAATGTTGAATTTTATATTTATACATAAATAAATTTTTATAACATTAAAAAAAAAACATTTTATAATATTTTTATAGTGTGCAACCAAAAAAAAAAAAATAAATAAATGTTGAATAAATGTCCAACAAAACTATAATATATATGTTGGTATTTTAATATTTTTCAAATTTGGGGTTGAACTTTTGTGGCATATGCATTTTTCTGCCACATTCTGAGTGACCTTTTTTATGTAGAAGGAAAAGCTCTCACACGTTAACCCTTTCATCTGTTTTGCTTTTACCTTTTTACTTTTATTACAGTTCACTTTTATATTTAATTAAATTTTCTTAAATTATTTTTAAATTCCCTTTCGTCAAGGTACTTTGGTTTTTTAAATTTTTTATTTTGTTTTATTCATTTTTAATTTTTTTTTATTGACAATTTTAAATTCTCTCGTTTTCATTGTAATAAAGATCTAAAAAAATTATTTTTATATTTTTAGGTCTTCGTGTAATAAAAAAAAGGTATGATAAAGTATTTTAAGATTGAACTTTCTAAATGACTATTGAGGATCGTTTTTTATTTTGTCCTCATGTCTAAAGTTTATAGAAAGAGAGATATATATATTCCTTACCTTGTTCAAGGTACTTTATTATTTTATTTTCGTATCGTGAAAAAGGTAAACGTGATTTTCTTTGATTCTATATCAAATAATCAATGGTTTATAAGTCACTCATTGTTCATTAAATTTTCACCTGTTATAAAAATCACTGATTAGATACGTTGTTTTGTATTTTATATAAAAAATGGTGTCAAATAACAAGCATTCAACGGATGATACTCGAAGTGAAAGTAAGTTTTAACTGGTTTTATTTTATTTTATTTTATTTTATTTTATTTTATTTTATTTTATTTTATTTTATTTTATATTTTATATTTTATTTTTATTTAAAATAAATTATTGTTTATATTATTAATTATGTTTTTATTATTTTTATTATTTAAATTTAAATTCACAATTATTTTATATTATTTTATATTATTTTATTTTTTAAAATTTAGATTCTGAGATAAGTACTCCAACACCTGGTAAATCTGATTCAGGGATCGAATCCCCTTCGGAATCAACAAATAAATTTCCAGGAAAAGATCTTCCTCCACCTACTATTGAGCAAACTCCTACACGTTTTTTGGCTTCATGTTCAAAACTTGATTTGGAACCAAATCCATTTGAACAAAGTTTTTCAGGTGTTGCCCCTATTACAGAAAATGCAGGAACAAGTAGTCCAAAACCTAGTTTACCTCCTTTATCACAACTTGCAAGTCCTGGTCTTCCACCAGATGAAAATCAGTATGGTTGGAATTTACAATCCTTGCGAAGTGGTGCCTTATCACCATCAATGTTAGCGGGTCCACAAGAAACTATCATATTCGATAATGTGCAATCAACTGGTCGTACCGGAACTACTCCTCTTTCGTTTGTTCCTTATCCAGAGCCTTCGCCTAGATCGGCTGCTTTACTTGGAGCAGCCACTACCTCTTTTAACCCTATGATTTCGTTATCAACCCCTGCAAATCCTTCTGACTCATTTGTTCGTAATGTTTTTGGTTCAGGGGTTTCTCGTATTACTGAAAATGATCGTAAAACGATTTCAACAAATTCCGTCAATAATGTTAATAATAACGTTAATTCCGTCAATTCTGTTAATAACGTTAATTCCGTTAATTCCGTCAATTCCGTCAATTCCGTTCCTGCTGTATCTTCGGTTTCAACGACACAAGGAGTTATGTCTACATTACCATCAAATCTTTTAAATATGTCAAATGCAACATCAGCACCTTCTTCTTCTTCTACAAATGTCATGGTAACTAATACATTAAATCATCAAACTTCTGTTCTTCTTGGAAATTCTGCGATCAATAACCTTAATAATCGTAATGTGCTCAAGGTGTCAACACAAGATATAATAAATAGAATTCCAGAAACAATTATGCCCAAAACTGAAAAGGAGGATCTCGTACATTCGAATAATAATAACGTAAGTGTTTTAAATAACGGAAGACAATCTAATGGAATAAATGCACATAAGCCACTATCTCCTCTTTCGGATTCTATGGATGAAGATTCTGTACCACTCACCAAGATGGGCAATTTGAATATTTTAAAATCTGGATCTCGTGGAGCAAGACGAAAAGCAGAAGAACAACTCATTAATGATCATTCTCAAAAGAAACATGGACAAAAAGTAAAAAACGAAATGACTGACGAAGAAAAACGAAGGAACTTTTTAGAGAGAAATCGTCAAGGTATGATTTATTCTTTATAATTATCAAAATATGTATTATTAAATTTTTTATTTTATTTTAAATTATGCTTATTTATTTTTTATAGCCGCACTCAAATGTCGTCAACGTAAAAAACAATGGCTTGCTAATTTACAAGCCAAAGTGGAATTCTTGACTAACGATAATGAAACCTTACAAAATCAAGCTCAATCTTTACGAGAAGAAATTATCAATTTAAAGACATTATTACTTGCCCATAAGGATTGTCCGATTGCTCAAGCTAATGGTGTTATTGGATTAGACTCGATACCTCCCAGTAATCATGGAATTCCAACAAATGTGAATGGCATGAATATTGGACCAAATGGTATTCCGATGGGAATTGTGCAAAGTGGAAACGCAAGCATGCAAGGCAATGGAACTTCCGGAAATATGCCAATGACAAATGTGCAAGTTCCTCAACATATGTCAAATCATGTAACTGGACCGCCTGGTTCAGGGATGATGAGATACTAATTGCATAATCATGAGGTCAGTTAAACTTTGAAACCTTTTATTTATTTATTTTTCGCATTTGTATTTACTTTAATTCGTGGAGTTTTATACATGTTACATCATTTTGCATTATACATAGTTAACATTTCGTGGTGTTGTAAAACTTTATTCTTTTCCATTATTCAAAAAAAAAAAATGCATACTTTAATTACCTAAAAAAATTTTAATACTTTAATTGATTTTCTTTATTGATCGTTTTTTTTTTTTTATTGATTTTTTTTTTGTAGTTTTTGTTTTAAAAAATTTTCAAAGAATGGTATTATACTACTTGCGATTGTTTACTATTCTCTTCTTGTACAGTTTCCTTATTTGATCACTTTACTTTTTTTGTTCCATCATCACACAATTGAGTTTTTTTTTTTTTTCTGTTTGTTAAAAAAAATTACTTTTTAAATTCGATTCTAAAATTTTGGATAGTCACTGGCACGTTTCTTTTACCAAATTAAAAAATCATTTCATCTTCCCTTTCCCTTTTTCCTTTAGTTTGCTACTGGAAAATCTTATTAACTGATATTTATGACACATAAACCTTAAAATTATTATTGAGCGGTACTGGTGTAAATTATTTATATCTTTATAAAAAATGCAAAAAATAAATACAAATAACATATGATAAAAGAAAAAATCTGCATTGTCAAAAAATAGATATGATTATCAAAAACTAATTCAAAGGTTGGATGTGATAAAAAATATAAAACGTGATTAAGCGTGATTAAAGTTTTTTTTTCGATCAGTTGCGCGTTACAAATTACAAATTGTAACGCGTAGTCGATCATGGCTGAAATCGGATCCTGTATCAAATACACCTACAGAATAAATTCGATTAAATTACACAAAAAAATACAGAGTTGAGTCATGTTCAGGTAGATTCGAAAACATGAATTATTGACATATGCGAACCCTCTACTTCTGGATGACTTATTATTTAAACTTTTAACAAAAAAGTTAAGTGGGATGGTACGTGCAGCAAAGGAGAACCAAGAATATGCAAGTACTTTAAATAAAAAGTTACATCAGACTTGGATGATATTTTTGCAGAGAGAAAGAACAAAAACAAATGAATACTTGAGGTTTGCGATTGATTACTATTTTAGTCATATTAAGTTGTTATATATGGACTACATTGTTTTCTTTACCTTAGACAAGGTCAGATGGAATCAGTAACAATGAAAAGACTTTAATAATGACCACATAAACAGGATTTAATGGAAAAGATAAATCTTATTTAATCATAATAGTTCATTATAATTAATTATATGCAATAGATTTTGTTGTTAAATTAAATTTACTTGTTTCGATACTTATCAGGCAGATCAGAACTGTCCCTTGTAGAGACTAATATGAAGTATACTGAGAGTAGTGAACGTCCGTTTGATTATAATGAATAAATATTGGAATCTGGTCTGGCTGTAATAGATCTATTAGAAGTGGTAGCTGATATTAAAGGTCATTTAGTGGCTAATATTGTCAGTTTGTATATGGAAACATGGGGTATCATCCGTTGTGAATTAAAAGTTACCAAACAAAAATGATGAGATACTAATTTTATAATCATGAGGTCAGTTGAACTTTATTTATTTTTTTTTACATTTATATTTACTTTAATCCGTGGAGTTTTATACATGTTACATCATTTTGCATTATACATAGTTAACATTTTGTGATATTGTAAAACTTTATTCTTTTCTATTATTCAAAAAAAAATACATACTTTAATTACCTAAAAATTTTAATTTATTGATTGTTTTTTTTTATTGATTTTTTTTATTTTTGTAGTTTGTTTAAAAAATTTTCAAAGAATAATATTATACTACTTGCAATTTTTTACTATTCTCTTTTTGTACAGTTTCCTTATTTGATCATTTTATAGTAATTCACAAAAGAAATGTATCACCTGACTTTTTGTCTTTAAAAAATTCTACAGCCTGAACAATCAATTTTAGAATAAAAGTTACTAAGCTCATTTTAATCCTTGAGTTTTGAAGATTTTTTTGAAATGTTTTTGATATCAAATTAATAATCCCAATTTTGCATAAACAGTTAATCTATATGGTGAATTGTTACTTAATAAAATTTCAAATGTGAATAAAATTTTATGTAGAACTGTTATAACAATTAGTTCTTGAAAATTGAAATTTTACATATAAAATAAATGAAAAAAAAAATTTTTATATATAAAATCTCTGTAACTACTGTATCAGGAATTTTATAGAGATGTTCTAGTATACTAGAAATATGAAATGTTTAAATAATACACTAAAAATGCTAATTTTAGGGATACGAAATTTTCCGTTAACTATGGCCAATCAAAATCATGAATTTTTGTTTACATGGATCAGCCTGACAAAGAAAAAAGTGAAAAACACGAAAAATACAAGAAACAGATGTCTAAACATGTCTTGATACATTAATAAAAAGTGTCAGGGAGGATATTTTATATATTATATATATTAAATTCTAATCTATACTTGACCCTAACTCCAGCATTAATTAATTTTAAGCAATTTTGTAATGTATCTGACTTTAGACATCTCCTAATTTTAGTATTCCATAAATACAAAATGTTTAAATAATGCATTAGAATATTGTGTTCTGGTATACTATAAATACAAAACATTTAAATAATATACCAAAATAATGTATTTAATATGTTGTTAATATGAAATGTTTAAATAATATATTAGAATATTGTGTTCTAATATATTAGAGCTGTTCAAATAACATTATACATTAGAAAATTTTTTCTAGTGAAAACCTTTGAAAGTTAACATTAACATAAGTATTTTGTTATTTTTTGATATATTATCTTTCAAAGGTCTTTGCTAACCTTCGAAAGTTATCAATTTTGATATTTTCATGTGACAAAATTTTGCGAATATTATTATTTTCGTAGTAAATTCATATTGATAAATTTTGAAGATTATCAATTTTGATATTTTCATATGTGAAATTTTATGAATATTATTGTTTTCATAGTAAATTCGTATCAATAACTTTTGAAAGTTATTGATTTTGATATCTTCATATACAAAATTTTACAAATACTATCATTTTCATAGTAATTTTGTATCAATAACTTTGTTTATGTTAGATATTCATAATATATTGTTTCAATGATTATCACTTACATTTATATTGTTGTAATTTTCAATTAAAATTGCACTGTCAATAATATCCTTCAAAGTTTATCACAACAATTTTAATTGACAGTATATTGTTAACAATGTCTTTCAAAGTTTATCATATCATTGATTATCGTTTCAAAATTTTTTTTGAAAGTTAATATTTTTTTTATTTATGCAACAAGATCAGTTATCTCATATGACTTATTATTTAACTATATATTTTTTTGTTTATTTTCAGAATAACTATTTTTATTCTTTAAACAATCTTAAATAATTCATATAAAACTTTTCGAAAAGAAATAAATTTATATCTTCATATTTTTGTTATTGTTATATCAAAATATACCAAATAAAAAGTAATAATTTAAAATATATTTAATAATATTTATTGGTTTGCATTGACTTTATTTTATAACTTAACAAGTAAATATATTTTATATTTTGTTTACTTTTAAAAATATCTTATTAACTTTAACATATACTTATAAAACATTTCGAAATGATATATTTATATATTCTTATAATTTATTCTGTTGTTATATTAAGTACATTAATTTATAATACTATTGTTGTACTAATATGTAGACAAGGGTCTGAAGGATAACTAGTATTCTTTAATTAAACTAACTTAAACTATACCTGCCACCCAAATTCAAAATCCAAATGCCAAAATCCCAAATGCCGAAATTCCAAATCTCAAATCCCAAATTATGATTAGTAT